ATCAGTCAGTATTACTGAACTTCTGTATACTTCACTGCAAATTCAAAGATTGCCTTTAAAGGTAGAATCCAGTATTTTGCAGCAAAAGAAAGCCACATACCTAGTAATTTCAGTCCTAACTTGGACAGACTTGTGCTTCCTTATTTCAGGCCTGCTTTACCCCAGGGAAAAGCAGTTATAGCATATGTTTACCTGAAAGATTTCACCCCAGAACACCGTATGACTGTATGATAGATTATACCGATCAGACTGCACAGCAGAAGCAGTCGTGCCATCAAACTGAACTGGTTTCTCCTTCCCTTTCCTGCAAGGACCCAGCTTCAGGGCTGCAATGTACTTTGTCACAGCATGTCACAACTGCAGCTGCAGCTCAGAAGAGAAGTGCAAGGCCAGCACAGGATTCTGAACTCAGCCCTTGCAAGGTTACCAGCTTTGCTTCAGAAGATTGACTTTGGCTGTATTATTTCAGCGTGCTGGCTACACGTTTATACTTCACTTTCCATCTAGAACTGGAGAGGGCTACAACAAATTTTAAACAAACTACTCTTTGTGGTTAAAAGAGATTAAAATCCATTCCCCAAGAGAATGACCAACCAACTGCAGAAGGAGGACTGCATACTGGGTAAAATCTCCTTTGACTTTCTGACTATTTAAGTGGATTAGGGCTTATGGTTTAATTTTTCCATCATAGCTCCATTTTTATTTCGGAGTGTATTTTCATATAAAGTCACAGAAATAAAAGATGGTTTTGAACTCTCTACTTACTTGCTGCTTCCATCAACAAAAGGATTCCAATGTGAAGCAAAGTCAGTGCCAGCTGCCACAACCTGAAGATGAAGAAATTGTCATTTTTTCCCCTGTCAAAATGAAGTACTCTACCACAGCACATGAAGAGGCCTGTGAGATTCCCAAGCTCTGCAGAATGAGCCATAAGTAGTAAAATAAAATTCCAAAGTGAAATAATGTTTTACAATCTGATTATAAAGCAACTATTGAAAAACTATCACCTTCTTAGACTCAGATTTAAAAGCAGCACTTGGAAATGGTGTAACACCAGTATCAAGTGGCAGCAAGTAATACAAAAGCAAAAATTTATGGTGAAAACTCAGTAAGGATTTTCCACTCAGGGCACCTCCAAGACACTTCCATCAAGAGAACATACTGCAGCCATCAACATATCACCTACCTGGTGAACTGGAATACAGCTGTGAAAAACAGGAATGGGATTTTTCTGGAGTGCTGAGCACTAATGTCTCCAAATCCAAATTAATGGCAGCTGTTGCTGTTGACACCACTTACTGAAAAATGGAGCCCTTGTGTACATAGGCACACAGTAATCCCAAAGAACGTTAATTAGCTGATCTACACTAAACTGCTGAGGCCTGGAACAAACAACAGCAGCTCACAGGGGGCAAAACTGGCTGCATGTGAGCTGGTGGCCTTCCAAGAAAGAAGCAGCAATTAAACTCTGATGACAGGAAGATCAGAACTCAAATGCGGAACTGCCTCTTCACATAATCAATTGGTACATATTGTTTTTCTCATTTAAGCATGACTCTGCACAAAGCACAGAGGGCAATTAATTTTCTTAAAAATTGTCTGGGGACCTAGAGTGGTCTTCTCATGACTTTATATTTCAGACACATATTACTCAGAGTAGAGCCACAAAACAATAAAGACACTATGATTTTAATAAATGAAGAAAAAACCAAACTTGCCCTTACCATTTCATCCCGAGCTTCTGTTTCTTTCCGTAGAGGGGGCTCAAACTGCAGCTTATCAACTACAAAACAATGCATTTTCAAATTTAATGTACACAACATTAATTATACTAATGCCCTTTCAATGCTTACTAAAGTAAAATGCACGTTGTAACACATCTAAATATTACGCACACAATGCTTAATTTGCCTATAAAATATGACCATCACTTAAGTATCAGCCTTATTGTCTAAATGCCTAAATTTGCAAATATGAAACCCACAAGAAAGAAACAGACCAAAAGTAAATATCAAGTCATTATATGAAAGTACACCAAAACTTAAGTATGTTAACCACATGCTACTTTTAATGAATGTGAGACTTTTTAACAGCAAGCTTCTTAAAAGTGTGATATACATGATGCAGAGCAGCGGGTAGCATTGACACTACAAAAAAACATTTGCCCAAACCTGGAGAAGGGTCGTTTCTACCCTCAAAATTTCAACTTATATCCAACTGAGTAGTATATTGTTACTAAAAGCTTGTATTAAAAAAAAATGCATTCTATTAGCATGCGCTCTGGTCAGGACAGCTATTGCAACCACAAGTGCTACATCAGGGTCAAGGAAAGATTTCACTTATGAATTTGAAACAATCCTAGAATGGTCCAGGTTATAAGGGACCTTAAAGATCACCTAGTTCCACCCTCTTTGCCACGCACAGGGACAACTTCCACTAGAGCAGGTTGCTCCAAGCCCCATCCAACCCGGCTTTAACCACTTCCAGGGCTTCTCTGAGCAACCTGTGCCAGCACCTAACCAGCCTCACAGGGAAAAATTTTTTCCTAGTATCTAATCTAAACCTACCCTCTTTCTGCTTAGCCATTGTGCAGACAAACAACAATGTGCAGACAAACACAAAATGCAATTTTTTCCTGTATTTTCTCATCACATCATAACACCCAATGTACCCACATGGATAGATGCCCTCCTAATTATCAACTCATTCTCATTTTTTGATGTCTGCACATTATTAGTAGTTTTGCTCTTTTAAGTCAGGCTGCATGGTCTGACAGAGATCACAGAGCTAAAAGGCTATGCTGGTCATGCAAAGTTTCCACATAAACATTACAGTGCAGCAATGAGATGTAATGAAACAGCAGAAAAATACGCAAGTTTTAATTCTGGTTTCAGAAAAATATTATTGAAGATTGATGTGTATGTTTTTGTTCCTCAAATGTGCCAGCCACAGAAGAGACTTTCCAGAGTAAATGACTAAAGAATGACACCAACATCCTTCATTGGTAGAAGCAAATCAACACCACAAAATGGGTAAAGCCCATCAGGAACTTACAGTTTATCTCTGATGCCGTTCTTTCTGCCCTGATGTTCCTGTTCGTAGAACGAATTGTATGGCGGATAACAGAATGAGGCTGCAAGAGTTAAAAATGGAAAAGATGAGAAAAGTTGAATGGCTTTCTGGTGGTTCTTAATTAATAATCAAACTAACAAGAGGAGAGCTGTTGCAGTCACACACTGTAGCATGCACCACCTTTGTTCTAGTCCTGCACATGATCCTTCTATACACCCACAGCATAAGCATGACAAGTGCTGTGGCAGTATGTCCTTGCTTCTCCTGTACGGTACCTCTAAAAACGGAGCTCTCAAACTGTTGGGGCTGTGCTTCTGTCAAGCTGCAGCCTTACATTCCCAAAGCAAAGCAAGGTATTTAAACCATAATTTTACCTAAAGACAAAAAATAGAAGATGTTCTCACTCACCTCAAAATCATCATCGTCAGCTTCACTGTAGTGTGTATGGTTGTCAGGGTTATTAACTTTGTCCAACAGCTCAACTGCTAAAGATCTTGAAAGACCAGGCTGCCCTACAAAGCTATGCTGGAACCACAGGAAAGAACAAGTTATAATATGCAACTGATATGTAACCTTCATTAATAAACATCCAATACAGAATGATACTGAATTTTGTCTGCTTTCTTGGAGCTTCAGTATTTCTTTAGCAATTCCTTAATGGCCAAACTTTCTAACCTCTCCATTAGAATTGAAATGCCACACTTTTGGCCACTTGTATACTGGAAATTAAATTGTGACCCAATTACACTTTATTTTTCACATGAGTATTTCACTTGAGTTTAGGAAGACAGAAATAGATACATGAACAACTGCTAAATACATCCATTCTCTGTTTGGGTGACAGAAGGGTCAATGTTTCTGTAGCTGTATCTAAGAGGCTGAGACACCCACTTGCAGAAAGGCTGAAGACAGAATACTAAGCAAATTTCTGTAATTTTCCCTAACAAAAATTGTATAAAAATATTGATACTGAACAAAATCTTCCTAATTCCTACAGTTGACTAGTATCTCTTTCCTTCGTATTTCACCACCCATGTTGTAAGATCAGAGAAAGAAAATTGTTCAGTTGGTTTTCCTTTTGATCTGTTGCTCACTTTGAAGCAAGAGATCTCTTACTGATGTCACTAAATGTTCCTAGACACTTACAGAAAGAAGTCTGTCTGCTGTCGGTCTCTTCTTTGGATTTTTTGTAAGTGCTATCTTGACAAAATTATGGAATGTCGATGACCTTAAAGAAAAATGAGGGTTTGCATCTTATTTCTCAAGGAGATATTTTTGATTTTAACACAGTTACTAAAGAGATTAAAAAAAGGGTGCACTAAATTTGAATGTCGTCCAGGTACCTTATCTCAGGTTTGAATAATTACATTTCCGACGTAACAAAACAACATAAAGACCATTTGATTAATGAAACTTGCATGGAAAAGGGTTTGGTACAGAAAACAAACCAAACATGTATGCTTCTATTTCGACTTTTTCCAGCTCCGATTATTACAGAATAGGTATCAGAAATAGGAATTGTGACTTATATACCAAGTAAACCCTAAAAATCTAGTCAAACCTACAAATTTCACTGTTCTTGGCTACAGGTAGGAAAATAAAATACCAAGTTCTAGGCAGAGACTCAACTTACTCTTTAAAATGCTGTATTGCTATTTCCAGAACAACCTGGGTGACTTTGTCATGTCGCTTCTTTTTAGATCTGAATTATGACTTGATGCTATGACTGAACCTACATTTTTCAAGCTTTTTTTCTTGCAATTGCATTTCTGTTAGTATGCCTCTCTGGGGCATACTAGCCCAAGTCTGCCTGGTTTCAAATCACGTTACATTTCCTCTTCTAGCCTTAGCATCTGAGAAGGTGGCACTAGAGAAATAAAGTGCACTGGCTGGGGTTATCGAAACTGAGCAGTTTCAATCCTGGAAACATGCTCTTTGAAGGGTTTTCTCCCTTCCTGTAGTACATATCTGCCCATCCAAACACCTCAAGGTAAAAAGATTGTACAGCAGCATCATGAGCAAAAAATCCTGCATACCAGAATTGTTTTGAGTCTCATGAATAAAATGTTAGTAAGCAGGGTATGATGTCCTGCAGGCACTGGGAAGGCATCACAGGTTAAATAAATCATGAAAGGATTAAACAACTACCTATCCCACTGACAGCAGCAAATGCCTGCATACAAGGATAAAAATAATTTTCCTTCCAGAACATACAAAGAGAACCAAAGAAAGGAGATTTCATTTCTTTCTGGATCACTGGCAGGGATCAATTACATACATATGGCTGTCTTGCCCCATACTGCTGGTTTTCTGCCATGTCAGAAATGTCTATTGCTGGAACTTAACCTCTCATTTGCTTTCAGACAGCTATAAAAAACACCTAGCTGTTTCTCAGTGTTGTGGTTTAAGCCCAAATGACTGCTGTAGCTGAACTCAGGACACTCAGTGAAAATTCCTGTAAGTGAAATCACTTCTCAGGTTCCCAGTTTAAAACTAGCACACGCTATTTTTCACTGCCTCCCTTTTTCAATAATGACAAATAGTTTTTTCACATTATCTACAAAATATTAAACAAAGGAAAGGGTTTAACGTACCATTTTGCTTTTTCCTTTAGTTTTGGCGGTTGAAAATTACTTTTTGACATTAAAAACAAAGCCCTAAAGGTAAAGGAAGAATAATGTTGTTATATGGTAAAAAAATAATTTCATTCCAATTTCCAAACACTTTAAATGAGTACTTTACAGTAAAAATCATACTGGTGAAACTGGATTATAGAAGACAGACATAGTAAAGCTGCTGAATTACTTATCTTTAAATAAGATCTTTTTATCACCATGCATAATCCTATTAAACATAAGGCTACAGCTTCTCTAGTGATTTACTATCACTAGATAGTTCTTAATCAGACTAATGATAACACTACAAAGCAGGGGTTTTTGTTTGTTTGGGTTGGTTTTTTGTTTGGGTGTTTTTTTGGTTTTTTGTTTTTATACCTAAAAATTTCAGTTATAATTTCAATTCTAAATTCAAGTCTTTAGCTTTAGATTAATGCCTTAAAGACAGACACAGCTCACACAAGAAGTAAATGCTTGATGAAGGAATCCTAGCATTAGTTCCTAGGTCTGAGCTACAGAGATGGTTACACTATATTTTAACAGTCCCAGCTGAGACTGAAGAGGGTCCTGGAGGTGAGCAAGTTCCCCAGCCAGCAGACCTCATCGGGTGAAGATCAAACATGGGTGGCTGAAGTTCTGCAAGTTCAATCGCTGTTATGCCGACTGCCCAGATGTCGCAGAGCTGGTTGTATCCACCATTCTTTTCCACTGCTGCAACTTCTGGGGCCATCCTTTAAAAGCAAAAGCATCATTCACTGAGAGCACAGCCTGCATGCAGGAGGCACAAAGCACTGTCACATAACCCTTGAGCGGAACCCCCCACAAAGAGCATACGTCTGGGAAAAGCCTGACATCCCCTCCCCTCACCCAGCATTAGGGGAGTGGAGAAGCACATAGAGGTGATGTGCTTTGCTCGAGGTCACAGGCTGGGCAGCAGCTCTAGGAATAGAACCAGTCTCATGATTCCTGGTGAAATGCTTTAATGAGCAGATAATCTTCCTGCCCTCAGTCCTCCTTCGCCAACAGGATAAAGAGGGCATCAAACAATTAAAACCCATTGTCTGGATTAAGCTGTACATGCGTGTCCAAGTCCATACCAAAAATACTGCCCTAGGCATCTTAACTGCATCACGGTGATGCCAGAAACCAATAGCAGTTAAATTTGCGTATATAATCCAGCTCAAGATTTACAATGATGTATTTGCATATTAAGTACTGTCTTGTACAGACATTAATCAGTAGAGACGATGAAAAGATAGTTTAAAATCTGTTTTTCTTTGCAATTTTTTCTGCACAGAAATCAGAAAGACATTGTTCAGTTTATTCACTAAAAGTGTAAGAAGTTACCAAGAAACTAAACGACCATTCGGTATCCAGACAAAGGGGAGAATGTTCTACATTAATAAATGTGTGAGAAACAGCCATTCTGCCTGAAATTCATGTAGCTTGTGTTACAGCATCAAACGGCTCTAATCAGTGCTTCCCAGACTTTAACCCTTTAGGCATTTTACTCGGAAGAAAGGAAATTTATGCAATTGCTATATATATTTAAAAATGTGTGTATACTTCAGCGTGTGTTATTTTAGAACTCTTAGCATAAGTACAGACTTAGCTTTGTATACAATCATAGCAATCAAAGTAGTTTATTACCAGTAAGGGGTACCAATAAATGATTTCCTCTTTGCAATGGTGGCTGTTATTTTTGCTGCTACACCAAAGTCAGCTGGAAAAGAAAATTATGATAGACTTAGAAATCTCACTGTAAGATCCCAATTCTGCTCTAGCAAGAAAGAACAATCGTGTTTCTCATCCAAATCAAAAATTCTCTAAGCTTCAACAGTTAAAGATTAATAATGAGATCAGCAAATGTTTTCACTGACATGACTTCAAATTGAAAAGTTTGGTTTCCACATACAGATCACTCGTGATCCTGTTCCTCTCCTAGATATTTTTCCATCTCACAATACAGCAACCAAGCAACCTCACAAGATTTAGTGGACATTCAATTTAATATTCAAGAGGAAAAATAGCATCATGCTTTGGAAATGGTACTATTTCTGTGTTACTTATGGAACAGCGGGGGGACATCTGTTCTCATTTCTGGAGACGTGTCTAGGGGACAATAATCCCTTGCTCTCAGAGCTGCAGATAATCAGGTGGTCTTGCAGAGCCATAAATCATTTAAGTCCTTTTTATTTTCATTGCATTTGTAGTACAATAGCTGGAAGATAATTCTGGGCAGACCTAACTATCTTAGCAGGCAAAAGGAAGGTATAAGCACATAACCCAAGTTTAAAGGTTTTACTTTTTTTACTCCTTTTTTTTTTAATTATTATTTGGGGTTTTTTTGGGGCGTGGTTTTGGTTGTTCTGTTTCTTGGTAGGTTTTTTCCCCTCCTTCTTTCAAAAGCCGTACTTTCCTAGCACTGCATTCCTGGTTCACCACAGGGGACTAAACGTGTTGAACCACACAGCTTTTCTGAAAAGCAGCGATGCAGCTAATGCACCACTGTCCGGATTCCAACACTGGACACAGTGAAGTGATGAGTATCCCATTCCTTCTCCCCGGATGTCTGCTCCCTGCTTCCTGCAACAGCCCTAACTACATGCAGACTTCTGTGAAGTGAGGCATCAGATAAGCAGACTGGGGTTTTGAAGGCAGCGCACTCAGGTTGAAGTTGTGGCTGCCCTATCCCTGGCAGTGTTCAAAGCCAGGTTGGACACAGGGGCTTTGAGCAACCTGATCTAGTGGAAGGAGCCCGTGCCTGTGGCAGGGAGGCTGGAATTAGATGATCTTTAAGGTCTCTTCCAACTCAAACCATTCTATGAGTCTATGAGATTCAGACTGTTTGCGCTCAACCAACTGCAAAGTATCACTGGAGGAAGCCAATAGTACAGATCTCTTCTGAGTTTTCATCTGTAGACCTCAGAGCACTTGCAAAGGAGGAGAGTTTCATTTTCGCCTCTGTGCAAACGCCCAAGGTCATATGCCAGGCTGGAGGCACAGCCAGGATCAGACCCCACTTTTCCAAAGGTTGCCAGGCTCAGGAGACATCTTCTCACACAGTGGAACCTTGAAGGCTCTGAGGGAGAACTGTCATTCTAGCGAGGAACAAACATGTGGATAACCAGGTAACCCCAACCTGGCAAATTCCAGGGAAACCTGTGAGACTTCAAGGCTTGATGGTTGAAAAAATAAATTATCTGCAACTTCTCGATAAAATGCAAAACTTCTCATGTCATATATACACAAGCCCATGGACGCTTCCTATTGTCAAGTGTAACATCAGAAGGTTCATGACACGGAGAACAGTACTGAATAAAATTCACTGTAGCAGTACAGGAGATCTGCTGTATTATGCTTTATCATTTGTAGAAAGCTTTATCTTTGCTGTGCATTTTGCTGTTCCACATAAAACAAAGCCTAAAAACCCTGAATATTCTTCTTGGGTGGCATGGTCTCTACATTCTAGTCATATTTTTGTCTTAATGGAATGATAAAAGGCAACTTGCTAAATCAAAGTATCCCAGATGCTACTGTAGCTTTTGACTGATCAAATTAAAACATTCCCACTTACTTTTTGTCTTACTATGTTTAGGCAACTTACCCAACTTGACATCTCCATGGTCTGTTAATAGAATATTTGCACCCTAAAACATAATAAATAGAAAATAAATTTTTTTATCAGGAATATTTTTCTGCACTAGAAAGTTTTAGGTAAGTTTTTCAAAGTTCCTAGTTACCTTTATATCTCTATGCATTTTGCCCTTCACATGCAAATAAGCAAGGCCCTGGAAATAAAAGAGAACAGTATCAGACGGTCATTTGTTAACATACTACAGAGCCAGTCCCAGTCAATAAACTTAAATTACACAATGCATTTTAATCTAAAATGGAGAAATTTGCATGTAAGAGGTATTCTGGATTCTGTTCCCCATCTCTCTCAGCTCCAGCCAACATATGTGAAGACTTGTTTAAACCAGCCATGGTACAACATTTTACATATATATACACATATATGTGTGTACTTTCAAAACAATCGTGAAATTACATCACCTTTTCCCTTTACTAAAGTTAGCTATATTTTTGAAGTCCTGAAGGTTTCAACAAGCAGGTGTTTAGGCTTTAAGCTGCCCTTCCAGCAATACAAGTTCCTGCAGTAAGAAGAGATCAGAAACAGAACTGCCAAGCAGATTAGTTCATGGGTCTACACCCCTGCCTCTGGCAGTGACCAGTTCAACTACCCCTTCAGGGAAATGAGTGAATCCCTGTGATTCTCTCACATAATTATTCAGGGATACACAGAGCAGGGAAAGAAAAGTTCCTTTAAGAAACAAGCTGCCTTCATTGTCTTATCTTGTAGTTCTATAGATATTAGCAGTTAGAATATGAAAGAGAACTGTGGTCATCTGGTTGCAGTATTTTTCCTCTACAAGTTATTAGAATTTATTGCCACAGATAAACGGGCAGTTTAAAATACACCTTTTTTTTTTTTTTTCTACTCTTTCTTTCCCCTCCATTACTCAGCCACTTACCCTTGCTTACTTGGCATTAGCTGTTTTCTGCAGTGAGATTCAAAAATTTGTCCTAACAACTGCTGCACTGAATCACTGCATTAGAACAATGGATGAAAACAGCCCACTCAACACTGTGGCCACAACCTGTGCAAATCTGTCTTCCACTGTTTCCCTGAAACCAACAGGCTCACTCAAGAAACCACAGCAGGACAGAGATTCAGTATTTTGGTCCTGCAGCAGGATCCACAGACACATTTACTCCTCTGTGAACCCTTTTGTAAATTACAGCGCAGACGCAACACTTCTCCGAGGATGATTTTAAGCAAATACTTGTACTTCATTATTGGATTTTCTTGCTAATTTTATTTACAATATAGAAACTAGCAGATTAAACCTGGTTAATTGGTTTCAGCTAGATTCCTAATGCTTACAAATGCAAGTGATGGTACTGCAGCACCTTCTGAAATCATCTTCTGTATCTACCTTTTATACATGGAACAAACACTTTATCGTATACCTGCAGAAGTACAGTACCTGTAAGGTTTCTCTGCATACATATGCAATTTGTAACTCTGACAGAGGTCCTGTGACTGCAAACAAAGTTTAAAGAAATGTGAGTCTACAATATACAATGCATAAATAACTTTGTGAAGCGGCCAAGAAGCAGAATTGCCATGCAAAAGTTAAACACTGAATTTGCATTAACAGATTTTTACATTGAGCTGAAAAGAGGTTTTGCTTGCTCGTTTTACAGAAAGGCTTTCTGAAAAAAAAGCCCAACCCCAAACCACCAAAAACCCAAAACAAACAGACCCAAACAAAACAGCACAGAAACAGAAAACAATACCCACAGCAATTAGAAAACCTGTTATCACAGAAGTCTAATTACCATTTTACAAGTGACCGCATAATAATGTAATATCCCATATTCTGAGGAAGGTAAAAAAACAACAGAAGTGATTTCTGCTAGTGTTTTAATATTAGAAATAGCAATATTCTATACTAGGGGCCTGTGTGACTACGAATTGTTATAAAGCTATTTGCACTAACAGGCTGAAAAATAAAGCAGAAACAGCTCCTGTATTCAAAAACTGCATGTTATCATTTAAAGGCAGAGCAAGCACCCAGACTGCTTTTCCAACAAATCCAATAAATCCTTCTACAGAATCAACAACTCCAGATGAAACCTCAGAGGGGAAAATATTAAGAAGAGGGTAGTACGGTACTGCACAGGAGCAGGAATAAGTGTAATTTTTACCCTTTAAAGATCAGATTTTGACATTTCCCAGTGAAAACTGCTTCCTTGCAGCATGCACAGTCTCCATATCCAATTAGCACAATTTCTGGTTGTGAACTTTTTTAGAAGACTTTTTTTCCACCCCTTCAGAAAGCAGATAACCTGCTTCTGCAGATGGCATTCAGAGATATGGGCTGAGAAAAGCCAAGATGCAAGCAAGCTCCCAGTGTACAGTAACTGCAGTTAATGAAGAGCCTTCCACTCAAGCTCTTTGCATCAGTCCCCTAAGCACTGTGGGGAAAAACAAACAATGTGAGGATCAAAAAATAGGATCAAAAAATAAAGTACATCTTGTCCTAGAATGACAGGGTATTAGTTGAAAATGGTGGTCATCGTATTTCAAAAGTTTGACACTAGAGGAAAATTATTCACAATGAGAAAAAACAGTCATTGGAATAATCCCCCCAGGGCAGGGCTGGACTCCCCAACATTGGACACTGTGAAGATTCACAAGGTGCTGGGCCACCTAGTGAAGGTTGTGCTTTGCCTAGAAAGGTTGGACCTAATGATCCTTGAGGTCCCTTCCAACCTGCTATTCTATGATTCTATGAAAAGTGCTCTCAACAAAATCTGTTGACTGCAGCTAAAAAACACCGTTTGTACCCTAAAACCCATGTGCCCAGCCAGTATCAAGCGTTCCCTGTTAGTTTGCTTTTTTTTTTTTGCTTATTTTTTTATTTGCTTATTTATTTTTCTTTCTTAGCAGAGAGCTCCCAAACAAATGTTAAAAAAAGTTTCAACGTACCATGATAAATATCTTGTAGGGATCCCCCACCGCAGTATTCCATGCATATCCACAGCTTCTCACGGCTATCAAAAGAAAGTTAAAACACAGGCATCAGAAGCTGATTGATCTGTATACAGAACAGAGTTAATAACGATTATTTATGTTATTTTCTATTGGTCTTGCTCACTCTTGTTAAAAATACACATTCTGATGCATGACTAGTCATTACACATTTTACATGTTATTAATAATGTCAATATAAATTCTCACCTATCAAACTGAAAATTTTATGCCAAATTCACTGAGAACTCTATACATTATCAGACCTAAAAGGTGCTGCTTTAACTCTGACCTCCTAATTGCAACAAAGAACATGCAGAAGAAACACCCAAGGTTTATCTATCAAGCAATATTACATTAGATAACACACTAAACTCACAGTTTCAATTTTAAATTTAAATCGCCTTATTATATATAAAATACCCTCTTCATGGCTTCCAAAAGGGGGACTGGGGATTTAGAAATTTAGCCATTTTGTTTCAGTTGAAGTCCATTAGGGCTGTAGAGATCGCTTAAAAATGCAGTCCTCCAACAAATCTAAAGATGAAACCTTGTTGAAAAAGACCAGCAGGCAAGGTGGTGATATATATTCCCACAGAGCCAATTGATAAATGGCAGAGTTCAACAGAAATGGAAAATATTCCCCAACTTTCTGTATAACATTTAATGTGTGCACTTGGAAGATGTAGCCAGCTGGCATCGCTTTGTTTCTGCCTCTCAGTACATCGCATCTGCTACACCAGAACTTCAAAAAGTGTTATTACCAGTGGCTCAGATTTAGTGTTTTGCTCTTACAACTCACTGGCTATACTTCCACAGTACACGAGACTACCATTAAATAAAATATCTAAAAGCAGTTCTGCTCTAGATAAACGATGAGCTACTTCTATATTAGAACCGATAAAAGTTTAAAATCTGCCCCACGAGTGAGTGGGATTGGGTATGTTGCAAGAGTCTCTAGGGGAAAAGGTTTTTTCTGTTCCTAGTGATAAAAATATTCCACCCTTTTGGCCAGCAGAGAAAACAAAGTATTAGTCATTTTATTTTTTTTAAAGCCAACTGGAAACTGAAGGAAATTCAACCTTGAAAAGAACACTGAGAGAGGATGTAAGCACTAAACCAGACAGAGCATTGTCTTAGGAAAGAACCAGCAGAAATGCAGGTATAAAAAGTGGGATTTACCTGAGATAGCTCCCAAAATAGGCGACTATGTTGCAATGTTTGCATTCTTTAACCATATATATTTCTTGCTGTATCAATGAAAAGTCGTCTCCTGGAAAACAGGAAGCAGCAGCCCCAGTTACATTGCATGCAACTGAACATTCAAGGAGATTTGAAGGTATGCACGTAACCCATAAAAACAAGCGAAGGGTCTGGATAATTGCTAAGCCCTTCATGAGGGCTTTCTAGCACGCCAGCCTGTCTTGCAATGGTTGTCTACACACACAATCCTTTCAGCCTACAGTGCTTATTACATCCTTTGCACGAGGCACAAATATTTCTTGAAGACAAGCAGAAAAGGGCTGGCCCGGCGGCCTGAACGTGATCCATCAGTTAAGACAGCTCAGCAGGCTCTGAAAAAGAAGCAAAGGATTCCCACAGAGGGACGGGAGCACGTGAGAAGACTTAGAGCAGCCCCTGCACAGCCATCGGACAGCCCCAGCTGGAGCTGGTATAGCTGTAGTGGGACACAGTGCTCACAGAACAAGGGTCCCAGAAACAGAAGGAAAGATCGCTGCAAGCTGATTCCAGAGCCCCCTGCCTGAAACCAGAAGAGATCACATACCACAGGCTCTTTATGAGAAGTATTTCATTTCAAAATGACTCTGATAGAGCATATGGCCTGCACGCCCACCCAGCCACCGCTGACTCAGAAGAGAAGCATAGAGTTCTCAACATGCACTGCCTTGTCATGAGTGCTTTTTTGGATGAGGACAGCTACATAAGCACATTTGCACATCCTAAATATCCTTTGCCAAGGGAGGGTGGGGGGAAGGAAAAAAAAAGCATTAAAGCATTCTACTGAAAAATACATTAAGAGCAGAGCCATATCCTGGCATGCTTCTGCCACTTTAATTTGAAAGGGTAAAAGCTATCATAAATTTAAATAAAATGAATTTATAGAGACAATGAAGCAAACTGAATTATCTGAGTGCTAGGAAACCCACTGGTACGCTTTAATTAAATCCCATTGAGAGAATTTCTGAACAGAGGATGTTCTCCCCAGAATCTAGAACTCAAACACTGCAGCTCTACCTCCCTGAAGCTCAGGGCAGGCTTACACCCAGCCCGGTGATGGGCTCCTATGGAGGCACAGATCCGCAGGCTCCCAAGGGTCAGCCCAAAAACCAGCAGTGACATATCAAACAACACTGTCACAGCCCCACAGCCTTCCTCTGAAGAGCAACATTGCAAAAATCAGTTTATGAGGCCATTCTAGATGTGTGCCTGCTTTGTGATCACAGACACACACACAACATATGTATATATACATTTTACATTATTACCTTTACTCTTCCTTTGGCATGAACAAAATCGTAACAGCTTGCAAGACATGAAAGAATAGAATTTAGACAAAGGCTTTAGATAAAATGCTGCTGCAGACAATGTTATAGCTACCATGCTCTCTCAAGGAAAAAAATCACTTTGTATGTTTACTTTTGTTTAAAGTTTAACTAGTAGAATTACCTCCTCTCAAAGTCAGGGATGCACACCCAGAAAACATACGCTGTTTTGTACTGCTTCCCTCCGTTTATGTGATTTGACAAGTCCAAGAGGTCTCAAGCACTGCTGTAAATTCTCTTTGGATTCTTCATGTGTTTATTTGACAAGTAACAGCATAACTAATATTTTTAATAACCTTTTTAAAAAAGATGGCTTTATTTGCTGTGCTTTGAAGCAACTTCCCTAAGCAAGGGCGTCACTGGTACCTGCTGGATCCACAGCAGCCAGGACTGATGCATGGTCCCATGGCATTTACAACCCCTTTGGACACCCCAGCTCTCCACACACACACCGGTACAGAGCAGATGCTTACAGACACAGCAAAAGCAGCACCAATTTGATATAACAATTTCCAAGTGACCACAATCTTTATGTCTCAATGATTATCAGACTTTGACGTAACAAAAGAACTGTGAAATACAAAAGTAGAAAGGAACACACTTGTATGAAAACATCCCTGACCGATTTCAGTAAATCCTCAAGGCTTCTTAAAGTTGAACTGTGTGGAGAAGCACTTCACCTGGGGCAGAAAAACATTAGTAGAAGAGTTCCAAATGTCAAGAGGCTTTCTGTAAATGTAAGTAGTATTTTTTTAATACTGAAAAAAAGAAAAGAGAACACAGTTTCCATAAATTTAGCACAGATTTCACACCGTGCTTGCTTTCAGGGTTACCCTTCAGCTACAACTTTGTTTGAATTCCTTCACCTACAAAAGAGCATTATGAACAAAGGATTTCTGAGTTTGAATCGGGTGGATTCATTCCTCCCGTTTTTCTAATGAACTTCCTAAGGGAAATCATTGAATGCTCACAGATAATTAACGGGAGCGTTTTAAAACTACAGAGGTTTTTCAAGAAAGCCAAATCTAAGCAAGTCCAAAGGCAAAAGCCTCCCACCCCACACCAAAGAAGGTACTTTCTCTACCACTACTAGCCACCCATGAGCCCTCTTCATAACGTACCATCTTCAAATCAAAGAATCTTTGATACATCAGAAGCTGCATTTCAGAACAGCTGAACACTGTCACAGCTGAAAACCATAATCAATCAGCATCCCCCTAACAGCAAAGACCTGCTGGCAGCAGCCAGAATTGCCCATCAATAGCATGTCGATTGGGCTGCCTACAGTGGAGCAACAGCATTGTCAGTTTTAGGAACTGTGACTAATGGGGAAAAATTGAAGGAAATACAGTGATTTGGGCTAGAAAAAGACTGACAGAAGATAAGATAACAACCTTCATGCGCATAAGGGGGGAAGGGATAATCCATTTTCCAGTTTTATGACAGGACAATTGGCAGTGGGCTTAAATTGCCTTAACCTACATTCCCTATATACATGAAAAGCTTTTCCTATCACAAGACTGAACTTGAAGGGATGGGAAGCTGTGAAATTTCACATCAGTAGAAAAATATGAAAAAGCACTGAACAAGTACCCATCAGGAGTGACTTAGGCTGATCCTGCCTGTAGAAGAGGAAGACAGAAATTATGACCTCTTGATTTACAATTAATAAATGAAAAATCTATGCAAGAAATGGGGCTACCTACAGAAAAAGGAGAAGGGGAGAGGGAAAAAAAAGCATCTGGAAGAGGAAAGGGAGGTGCAGGCTAAATCACAGAATCACAGAATAGTTTGGGTTGGAAGGGATCTTAGAGATCATCTAGTTCCAACCCCCCTGCCACAGGCAAGGACACAAACTGATAGAAAAGCAGCAAACAGATGGAAAGAAGTATCCATGAGAAAAGTCTGGCTAAAATATGTAGAAAATGATTCTGAAAGATCAGACAGAGAGATAGGAGAGATGTATAGTCGTTCAAAGACGACAAGAATGAATTCAAAACAAAGGAATTCAGAGTTTCCAGGCAGCTGGAGTATTAATCTTGGCAAAAGACACTGGAATAGGGCAAAAATTAAATATCCTTGGACAGCATTAAAAAAAAAAGACGACGGTAAGACAAAGAATATGTAGAAAATGGTTCATCGAGAGGGAGAGAGCAAGATAAAAAGAATTAGATCAAAGGTGACAATATATCCATACGAAGAGCTTTTCATCTGGTTTAGTCATCACAGATTGCTTGATGCTAAACAACATGGAATTGGAAAAATGTACTTTTGTCTACTCACATGTTTGCAATTATGGGTTATGTGGCATGCTAAGCAAAAACGTCGTTTGGGGAGCTGCTGTAAATCACACGAGCAGTGTGGTGAGTCACTGCAGCTTGCTACTATTACGTAATTTTACCTCTGTAGCAAGACACACAGGACATAGCAGAGCGTTACAATGGAATAGTCTCCTCCGATCACAGCCCATGGTGGGTTGGTCGAAGCTGTGCTGCTTGGCACAACCAGCTGCTTGTTCTCCAGCACAGCTGGCAGAGAAGGGATGGCTGAAACTTGCAGCCAGATCACTGTATGATGCGATCGGACCAGATTTCCCGAGGTAAGCAAGGTACGGCCTCATAAATTCATGACAGATCCATATTTAACTGGGAGATAATCAAGAAAACTGACAACCCATTTACAGCAGTGATTTGTTTTACTTGTAGACACCATTTCTCATCTACATGGAACTGGCATGTATAGATATCCTGCCAAGTCCTAGATGGAGAGCACCTGTATCCTGAATCCACATACACTGCTCTGCAGCATGGGAAGGCTCTGATGGTTCTAGAGCCTATCACACAGTTCTATTAGGTCTTCTGAGCATACTTGACCTTGTTGGTTTTTAAGCAAGTTTATTCCTGGTTGTACTTTCATGCGCTCCACTGATTGCTTTGAGCCACCCTGCAAAAAGACCCAGGGCCACTTCCCACAACTCTTCTTGTGTCAGCTGTGAATCCCTTCATTGTCCAAAAGGCTCCTCAGGGGAGAAATTCATAGTTACCAATTTAAATTGGTTTATTCTGCATTACTTCAGTGCTGCATCACAGGGCTGATGCTGTGTGGGAACAGAGGGAGGGATGGGCAGGCAGCATCCAGGGCTCACACGCAACAGGGAGGAGAGAACTGACGGCATTTGGAGACATGCACGGTGCCACCAAAGGGCGGGACAGAAGCACTTATTAAGAAGCCAGATTTTCAAGGTGCCAGCCAGCATGCCAGCACTCCTGCCCCGAGCTAGTGCCCTCAACACGCAGTCCTCACAGGCCCCAGCACGCTAGACAGACACACCAGGCAGCCCGGCAGGAGGTGTGACCTGCACTCCAAAGCCTACCCTCCAAGCCTCTCTAAGGAGCTTGACTGTAGATACTCTGCAGATTTGGGATTTTTAACGCTATAATTAACATTTGTTATTTAGAATTGATAGGTTGTTCGACAATGGGACCAGGTGGACACTGTTGTGTGGTGTGTTGACCGGGTGTGGTGGTATACAGGATGCTGAAAGACAAAGAGCAGGGTCACACCATCACTGATGAGACCGAATGCTCTCACTGTAACCGTAAAACTTGCCCAAGAGATGCCCACCTCTGTAAGTCAGCAGAAGCAACTATTGCCTCTTTGGAGACCATTCCTCAGACATTTTTTATTTCAACAACCTGAATCCCTGAAA